GTCTGTATCCCCCTTCCCTGGTTTGAGTTGTGAGCTGCCCTGAGTCCCCTTCGGGGGAAAACAGCAGCATATAAATATAATAAACAAACAACAAACAAACAATTAGTTTGTTCGATCGTTTCAGGAGTGTGAAGATCTGTCCGTGAATCTCAGGGATTCTGTGCCCAGTCTTCCCTTGCACAGCCCCTCCTTTGGAAAATATTGACATGGCAGCATTCCAAGACAGAAAAGGTCTGTAGTTATAAATATTCCTTTGAAAGGCTGTTCGCCAGGCCTTGGCTGAATGGGAATGAGAGGAATTTACATTTGTTTCATAAAAGGTTCTTTTTTTCAGGACCAGGGCTCGGCCTCCTGCTTTTTGGGGAAGCCGAGGTCAGAACAATGAGCGGGCAGTTGGAGAAGAGGCCCATTCTCCTTTCTGCCTTTCCCCACACTCCCCGGGACCTTCAGAAAGTATGAACAGAGGCTGGCAACAATATCAGGGTACCCAAGGCAAGTCGCGCGGTGGCAGAGTGAGCAAACTCAATTGTTTCAGATAAACAGGCACATTTGCAACCGAGCGTTTTGCAGCTTCGGGGGCAATGGGGGGTGGGGGACACACACCAAAGAGCGAGCTCCCCTCCTTCCAAACAAACTTGCCAACTGTGGCTTCTGCTCGGGCTTTTGGGGGTTCACGGCAGGCCTTCCCCTCACCCCGCAGCCCCAGAGATGCTGCAGGCAGGAGACAAGTGGGCAGGAGACGGGCCGGGTGGCAGGGAGGCTGCCAGGCCAGGGCATGGGACCCAGCTGGGGATCCGTGCTGGGGGGAGGGAGGGAAGCAGCCCCATCCTCTGGCAAACACAACCCCTTTTCTTCTGGTTCTGGGCAATCCTCCCTGCCTGTCTGGATCCGGCTGGGGGTGGGGGAAGGGGGGGTGCAGTGTATTCAAAAGAGGACAACAGCAGCCCCTTTCTCCCGCCCGCCTCCTCCCGCCAGCGGACAAAAGCAGGAGGGTGGTGACGGGGAGGGAGCCAAGCGGGCAGACAAAGTGGGCCTTTGACTCCCCCCACCTGCCCCTCCCCGATGGGGAAGCCCACACTGCGGCTTTTCATCGCTGCTGCCGCCCAACCAAGACGCTCATTAGGGAAGAGCCGCTGGCAGCCGGCCGGCCCCACAAAAGTCCCTCTGTTTGGCGAGGGGGCTCCGGGCTGGGTTTTGTCCAAGGGCGCCTCGAGCTTCCCTCACCCGGCACCCCACCCCACCCCGTGCTCACCCTTTCTCCTGCCCGGAGACGAGGGGCCAGAAAAGAGGGGGACGGTGCCCAGACAGGACTCCCTGACTAGCCCAAAATGGCAGTTCGTTTTTAAGCTGGGATGGAGAAAGTCCGGACCGAGGCCGGAGGCAGGACGTGGCCCCTCTCTCCCCCTTCTCCTCCTCCTCCTCCTCCTCAGCTCAGAGCTTCAACTTTTGCAGCCCCCCTCACAGACTCAGAGAATTGTGTGTTTTCCTCCCCTTTTTCTGCTGTTTTCTTCCTCAGGTCCAGGAAGATGTTTCCGCTTGAGGGAAACTCGAAGCTGCCATGTGGAAGAACCTGGGGACACCTGGGAAAACAAAGCAGGTGGCCACAGCTTCTCCTTTAGGCCCGCTTTTCTTTCAGGGCTGCCCCTTGGGGCGATTTTAAGGAGGGTAACTGGACTTGAGGCTGAATTCAGGATGGCCTTAGCCCCCCCCCCCCCCCGGTTGGGCAGGAGGTGGGAGCAGCAACACGACACGTGTTTGAAGAAGACTTTGGAGAAGCGGACAATCTGCCTGAGGCTGGAGCAGAGAACCACTCGAGCCGGGACAGGAGTTCCGCTCATCATCATTTCGGTCAGCATGTGGGCATCATGCTTTTGCTGTTCCCAACCCATGTGGCCAGAAGCTGCCTTCCGTAAACAGCCGGGGGCCCGGGGCCTACCCACGAGACAAGGGGAAGCCTGGGCATCTGTGTTCCCGCAACATTCAGCAAGCTTTAACACCCACCCCCCCCTTGCAGGCTTCATCGGTCACCAAACAAGACCTCTTTTGAAATTTGGAAGAATCACAGCCCTTCATTCTTCCTCTTTAGAGATATATTTGCAAAATTCCCCACAGCAACAACAAATACACATTTCTTCTTGTCCTCTCCATATCATATCAGCAATGAGCATCCTGCCCGTTAATCCGAGACAGAGTTAGAAAGAAAATCAATGGGAACAGCCACACCCCACCCTGAGAAATGCCCCCATCAGTTATCCAGATCATAAATCCCATTTCCCCCCTCCGCAATAAAGCTCAGAATCAGGGTAGGAAACTCAGTTGCACTTTCCCTTGCCCCCATATTGGAAAATACGTTTTGGACAATGTAGCCCCAGAGGAAGACGAGGCGATAAGAACATTTTTAGAATGTGTGGAGATGGGGAAACGGACAAAAGAAATACAAGGAAAGGGGGAATCAGAATATTATTCTACATGGAATAAATGGTATAAATGGTTAGAGGACAGAAAGGAGAAGTAGGGAAGCATAAAATATGTATAGAAGTGTTAGGATGCAGTGATAAGTTAAGATAGAGTTGAGCTAAGATATAGTAGCTATATGTAAAGTGATATTCTGATGCAAACAGCCAAGTATAAATATTTAATAATAGACGTAAATAAGTTAAGAACAAGAGGACCATGGATGTAAGATAGGAATGTATAGGAGGGAAAACATCTATTGTAAAGACATAACGATATGGAACTTATGATGGAACTTTTTTGTTCCTTTGTTGTTTCAATCTATGTTTTATTTTGTTTATGTGTTTAAAATAAAAGAAAAAAGAAAAAAGAAGAAAAAGTGTTCCAGAAATGAAAAAAACACAAATTGCACTTGCTTAAAATCCCATCATTCTCCCCCCCCCCCCCAGGTTTTTCCCACCAGGGAAGGGGGCTTAGTTACTGTCCCCGACAGGACTCAAAAAAACTGGCCAGATGCCCCCCTAATGGGCTTCCTCTGGTCTGACCTCCCTCCACCCCCCCCACCCCAATGCTTACCTTCTGTGCATTCACACACGTAAGCATTTGGTGCGTCCACACATTTGGCTCCGTTCTTGCAGGGAGTGCTGGCGCATTCGTCAATGTCGTGTTGACACAGGTGGCCATTAAACCCTGGCAGAGAAGAAAAAGGGACTGGCTTGGATCCAGGACGCCTGGGCTCCTGCTTGCTCCCCTACCCCACCCTGGAAGACCCCTTGGTGGGGCAACTTTTTCGGCCCATCCCGCAAGAACAATTTTTTCACTGTGATGTCTTCCCTTAACAAACAAGGATCCGAAAGCGATGGTTGACCTTGTTGGTGCCAAGTGCCCAAAGAGCATACGAATACACGCCCATGTGCCTTAATCCCCAAAATGCAACTTGAGTGCCCCCCCATGCATGCGGCCCACACATGCGTGCATGTTCCCTGCAGATGCGCCCTGCCCCTCCACACATGCACCCCCCGGACCACATTTTGGCTTCCTGGTTAGTGCAGGAGACTTTCCGAGGCCAAAATGGGGGGCTCGTGTGGCACCCCCATGCCCCGTTTTGGCTTCCCTGATCTCCAGTTTCTACCTCCAGTGCGCCTGAGTTTTCTCTTGCATTTCTGCCATGCAGAGGCGCCTGCAGAGGGGGAAAACTGTGGAGATCAAAGAAGGCCCTGCCCCTCCAGTGCATGCATGGCAGAGAACTGAAGACCAGCTGGGCAGTGGGAGGTGCACACCCATGTGCGGTGGAGCTGGGTTGGGTGGCGGCTGGCATGCCCACAGAGGGCTCTGTGTGCCACCTGTGGCACATGGGCCATAGGTTTGCCACCACCAGGACAGGCGGAAGGATTTAATGGACGTGGTTGGGAGGGAGGGGCAGAAGGGCGTCCTCCCCCTCCTTTTAAACCATGCAAAGAAGGGCTTGAAACTAACAAGCAGAAAACAGCTGAAACTTGAATGATTTCCATTCAGATAGCATCCGCTCCCTCTCTCTCTCTCCCTCTCTTCTTTTTCTATCAACATTACTCTACCAGCTGAAGCCCAAAACTATGTTTTAATCATGATGGACGCTTCCTGGAAAACCCAGAAGGACCCCCGTCCCATCTTGCCCCACTCCCCCCAAAAAGCATCCTGAGAAGAGAAATCGAAGTCAAACAGTGGCACATCCCCATCTCCTCTTGCCTTCCCAGGAATCATTAAAGGGCTGTAATAACAGCAATCCCATGTTCCCACCGGCCTCCCTCGCTACTCTTTTGGCCTTCCCAGCACAGGAACTTTATTTCACGATGGGACTAAAACTGTGGCCACTCACCCACCCAGGTGAAATCCCCAGAGCACTGCAGGGCTGGCAAGGGCCTCATTTTTGCTAATCACAGTCCATTTTCTCAGGCAGGTGACGAATGAAATCCAGATGTTTGAGGTCCTAATAATACTGGGTTTTTACCAAGATGCCCCAAAATGTGGATTACGTTGCCAAAGGCTTTCCCAGTTACCCCTTTGCAAAGAACCTCACAACCCAAAGCAGGGTCACAAAACAAGCATTTGCAGACCAGAATAAGAGCATAGCAGAGTTGGAAAGGACCTTGGAGGTCTTCTAGTCCAACCCCCTGCTCAGGCAGGAAACCTTGTACCATTTCAGACAAACATCGTCCAATCTCTCTTTTTTTTTTTTAATCTAATGTTGGGACACTCATAGCTTCTGGAGAAAAACATTAATCATTTCACTGATTAATGGTTCTCACTGTCAGGAAATTCTTCCTTAGTTCCAGGTTGCTTCTCTCCTTGATTAGTTTCCATCCGTTGCTTCTTGCCCTACCCTCTGGTGCTTTGGAAAATAAGTGGACTCCCCCACTTCCTCTGTGGGAACCCCTTAGATCAGGGGTGTCCAAACTTGGGAACTTTAAGACTTGTGGACTTCAACTCCCAGAATTCTCCAGCTGGGGAATTCTGGGAGTTGAAGTCCACAAGTCTTAAAGTTCCCAAGTTTGGACATCCTCGCCTTAGATAGTTCAACACAACTAAACAACTAGCTTACCTGCCCATTTGAGCCTAGTTTTGCATTAATTTTTTTAATGCTCTTCTCGACCAATCGACTGAGCTAACAGCCAGACTAAAGATAAAAATGAGGCTGTAATAATGACTTTTTTCTATAAACACAGTCACACACAGATGCCCCCCCCCCCCCCTACTTGCAAAGCTGCATTTCCCTTGCAAGGGCGGGACAGGCAGACGGGCGTGTTTCAAGGTCTCTTTCCAATTCATCAGCATTCAATGAGTTTTTGTTTTGCTCAGCTCCCTGCTATAGTTATTAGGCTGCCTGCATAGCTCTGAAGATTCCTGATTTACATCTGTAAAGCCCCCGCTTTACATTAGCTGCCCCCTTCCTGGTCATCTTGCCCACAACCTCAACATCCCCCTATCTGGCTATTTCCAAAGAGAAGGAGGCTCCCTTCAGACCCAAAACTCTTTGGTCTCCCAGACAGAGGAGGCAGGCACGAATAACAAAATCCTCCCTTTTTGGAATGGAATGGAGTGGAGTAGAGTAGAATAAAGTAGAGTTAGAGTTAAAGTTAGAGTAGGGTAGGGTAGGGTAGGGTAGAATAGGGTAGGATAGGATAGGATAGAATAATAGAATATAGAGTTGGAAGGGACCTTGGAGGTCTTCTAGTCCAACCTTCTGCTCAAGCAGGAAACCCTTTACCACTTCAGACAAATGGTTATCCAATCTCTTCTTTAAAACTTCTACTGTTGGAGCATTCACAACTTCTGGTGGCAAGCTGCTGTTCCATTAATTCATTGTTCTGACTTTCAGGAAATGTCTCCTCAGTTCTAAGTTGCTTCTCTCCTTGATTATTTTCCACCCATTGCTTCTTGTTCTACCCTCAGGTGCCTTGGAGAATACCTTGACTCCCTCT